TCCCCCATCCCCTCCCCGCACCCCACCCCGCCTGCAGGTCCAGAGAAGTGAAGTCGCTGGTCCGGGTCTCCGGGCTGCAGAGCTGGCGGGCCTCGGGCCCACTCCTCCCGAGAACAGAAGCTGTTGTGTGCAGACATCAGCTCAGTGTTTGGCTTGAAAAGGCCTTTCCGTGCGGCGGAGCCAGAACGCCGTGGCTCCGGTTCAAAGACGCCCACGAGTTGCCGGGCTCCGTGCTGAGCAAGTCAAGAGGAGGTGAGAAAGTCAAACAGACCTTCAATGCAGCCTCCCATGAGCCCCAAAGTGGGGGCTCCAAGGAGACACTGTTTACAGATTTGGGGTTTTGCACGACACACTGAAAGCCGTGGCTCTCAGATTCCTGATCTGCTGTGGGTGATCCATCGGCAACCACTCCGCTCCCCGCCCCCCAGCAGAACGCACCCCTGGCCCCAGTCCAGCGCGGCTCCTCTCCTTCCGATCCTGCCCATCCCGAAGCATGCCTGCTCCCTTTCCTCTCCTGGGCTCTGCAATCCAGGTCCCCAACAGACAGCGTGGCTCACTCGTACCTGCCTCCGCTCCCGGCCCTCTCACCCCATCAGTCTGTCCACAGGGGGTCAGGTGATGCCCTCGTGTGCGCAGGTGCCCACAGAATCGAGGAAACCCACCAACCATCCCCAGGACTCCCCCGCACAGGCCTGTCCTCTGCTTTGCCTCAGGGAAGTCTTGTGCTTTGGAACCTGCCCCATCACCAACGCGAATTCTTTCCCCTTTTGCCAGAGAGGGCCAAGCAAGGCTAGCTGGCCCGGCCTGCTTTCTGCACAGGCAGGAGAGAGCACGGAGCTGGCCCTCTGCCCTCTCACCTGGAAGTCGCCAACACGCCCAGGGGCCGGATCGCCTGCAGGCCTGCTCCCCGTCTGCCCTTTCCCATGGGGGCACTCACACGCTGGGCTGCCAGAACCAGGTTAGGAGCCGAACAAGGCCCCTGGCTCCATACACCCGCCTTTCTTTTCCCAGACTGACCTCTTCCCTCCCACCACCTCATGCACCGGCCGCATTCTGGCTGCTGATCAAGTTGTTTCAGCCTTGGAAACGGTCACTGTCACCGCAGAAATGAGAGAAACTGTGCCTCTGGGTCTGAAGGCAGCTCCGCTGAGTCCAGAGAGGCTGCAGCAATGGCAGCACGACCAGGAGCGGGGCGCCTGGCAGGGACGTGGGCAGGGAGCGGGGTACACACTGACACCGCGCCTGTCAGCCCTCGCGTCACTCCCTCCGCCCTGGCTGGACAGCGCGGCCTTGACCGTTCGCTTATTTCCTACATGGACACATGACCTCCTAGCAGACCAGACATTCACGGTTACTCACTGTTCGGTACCATCCCCCAGGGCGCCAGCGCACTTTGGGGTGGGTGGACTCCATTGTAGCCGTGGCAGCGCCCACTCGAGGAACCTTAGGCTGGCACAGAAACGACCAAGGCAGGACCCGAGAGGGCCACACTGGGCCTGAGACTCCGTCGGCTCCGGGGCTGCCACGCAGTTTGCTTTGACCAAAGCCACGCACATGGAGAGTTCAGAGCTTTGAGGGGATTTATTGAGAGCAGCTTCCGTGTATCAAAAGGTGCTGAGCTTTTCTCCGTCGCCGGCAGGAGTCCAGCTGGTGGCCCCGTTATTGCCACTAGCTGGTAGGCCAGACCGCAACCACCACAATAGCCACGAGCAGCAATAAAATCACCATTATCATCCCTGAAAAACAGAAGCAGAAGAGACCCCTGTGAGTGATCCACGTGGACGAGCATCCCGCGCCCTGCGCATCTTCCCCGGGAGCCTTTACTTTGTGCTTCGAGGTGTGTTGGGCACCAGCACCCCAGGGCACGGCCGCTGCAAACTCTGCTGTGGGCAGTGGGTGCAGAAGGGAGGCTCCGGGGACGCTGGCGAGTCTGCAACCCACCACCTCGAGAGTTGTGCAGCAAAGTGCAGGAGCTCCTGACAGCAGGGCTGGGGGGGATCCAGGGAGGGCCCCCATCCAGCCCTGTGTATACTCGGCCCCCAGGTCTAGCTTCTGTGTGCAGCCCGACCCTGTTTCCTGTTTGCATTGATGAGACACCAAGAAAGGAAAGGGCTTCTGAGTTTACAAAGAAATTCATTCTAGAATCCGTTATCTCCACCATCCACACGGCTTTGCCTTTTCTTTCTTTTTTTTTTAAATATATTTTTTTATTGATTTTTACAGAGAGGAAGGGAGAGGGATAGAGAGTTAGAAACATCGATGAGAGAGAAACACCGATCAGCTGCCTCCTGCACATCCCCTACTGGGGATGTGCCTGCAACCAAGGTACATGCCTTTGACCGGAATCGAACCTGGGACCCTTCAGTCCGCAGGCCGATGCTCTATCCACTGAGCCAAACCGGTTAGGGCATGGCTTTGCCTTTTCTTCTTGAGCCCAAGATACTTATGTCATCCATCTGTGAAAATACGCAATAGAGGGGCTTTTCTTCACAGGTACATTTTTGTTAGTATTTTTTCTGTTTTAGTCCCTAACATTTCTTGGCTGGGAGACAAAGGCCAGCATCAGCCCTCGGGCCAGTCTGCTCCCTGTCTGTGCCCAGCTCCACCCACACTACCACCTGCCAACCCCACCCGCCTCTCCAGCGCATCCTGGGACAGGACTGCCCACTCCTGCAGCGCTGATGAGGAGGCCCACGAGAACGCCCACCCTTCGCTCACTGACTTCCACGCTTCCTGGTGTGTAGTGAGTGCTGACCACACCAGGCACCTGAGGCCAGCATATGCCAGAGGTGGGCATGGTTACCACAGAGCAAGCACTCAATCATTTGCCTCCTGAAGGATCCCTGAGCACTGAGGCCCCAAGAGGGAAGTGAGCAGCAGATGGGGTAAAGCACCTGAAAATGCGCTATCAAGTCACAGTGAGTCGAGCCCACAGGCCCATGTGGTCGTGGCCACCAGGACTGACCACCTCAGACCGAGGAGCTGTTTTTGGAGAGGTCAGGGTCCTGAGAGTTCAACAACTTATTCTCTCATGGGAAGCCATTAGCTAGAAAACCACTGGTCACATCTGGCTCTTTCAATTTCAATTAATTAAAAGGAAATAGAGTTAAAAATTCAGTGCCTCAGTTGCACTAACCGTATTTCAAGTGCTTTAGAGCCACACGTGGCCAATGGCTACCATATTGCCAGAGACAATAAAGACCATCATCGTGGAAAGTTCTTTCCGACAGAACTGAGAGTGTGGGGCTTTGATTATCTTATTGTCTGCTGCACCCCAGCTTCCACGACAGTGCCTGGTGTGGGACTCAATACATAGCTGTTGAATAAATGAATGACGGGCTGCTCAATGCCTTTTCAACACTCACTCTACACTTGGATAGCTTCCCACGCTGGGAATTCTGTTTTTCCCTCTTCTTGAGTCAGTTTTGTTAAGTTATATTTTTCTGGGAAATTGCCATTTTTTTTTCTGCGTATTTAAAAATACTGGAATAAAACTATTCAGTCTATTCTTATAATTTAAATATTATGCTAAATCTATAGCCCTGGCCGGGTAGCTCAGTTGGTTAGAACATCGTCCCAATACGCCAAGGGTTTGATCCCCTGGTCAGGGTACATACAAAACTCAACCAATGAATGCATAAATAAGTGGCACAACAAAGTGATGTTTCTCTCACTCTCTAAAACCAATCAATCAATAAAAATTTAAACGCCATGCTATATCTATGTCCTTCTGTTTATTTCTAACCACTTATTTGTGCTCTCTTTTCTCTTGACTAGCCTTGCCACAAAGTGTGCCTGTTTATTAATCTTTTCTAAGAAAAAGTTTTGACTTTGACAATCATCTCTCATTTGTTTTCTGTTTTATTAATTTCTGCATTTATTTTCCTTAATCCTACTCTTCTGGATTTACTTTGTTGTTCCTTCTCTAACTTCTTGAGTTGAAAGTTAACTCATTCGTTTTCAATCTTCTAAATATTACCCCTCTAAACCTGTAATTTGATATGAAATAAACATTGTTAGTTTCCAAATTAAAAATATTTTTTAAAATTTCACCCTGACCAGATAGCTAGCTCAGTTGGTTAGAGTGTTGTCCCAATAGGCCAAGGTTGCAGGTTCGATCCTCGGTCAGGGCACATACAAGAATCAACCAATAAATGCATAGATAAGTGGAACAACAAATCGATGTTTCTCTCTCTCCCCCTTCCTCTCTCTAAAATCAATAAATAAAAATTTCAACAATTACTTCTTTGGCCCAATAATTATTTAGAAGTGTGTTTTAACATTTCCAATTCATTGAAACATACTTATCAGAATGTATATTTTTAAAATTCTGCGATAATAATACATGCTCTATATTTTGATGTGAAAATATCTGTGATTTCTATTAGTGACAAAGTCACAAGTTCTAACACTACTGTTGCCTGTTAACTGTCTTCTTAATTGAAGAAAATGCTAAATATCCATTAGAGGTTAGTGAGAATAAGAATGCAATCAGCTTTCCCCTCCCCGTTCAGACTCCTGAATTCCAGCATAGATCCCAGGGTTCACTGGAGTTCACAGTGTGAATTTACAACCCACCCACGTTAGCAGGGCCCGCCCACAGCTCTGAGTCCTGAGGAGTGGCTTAAAAATGTGTGGCAAGCTCCCCTGTCGTCGCCCTGTGGCAAGGGGCACATGTTTTCGAAGACACCCCCTTTCTTTGACGATCCAGTCTTTGAGAGCACTCCCTCTGGGGAGCTGAGATCTCCCCCCATCTTTATGTGGACATAAACCTTTCTGCATCGTAGATATTTTATCTAGCACTTCAAGATGCTTATAGTGAGGTGTGTGTGTGTGGGCCAGTGTTGGGGTCCAGCCCCAGCGGGTCCAGGGGTCCCCAAAGGTGTGGACGGAGTAGGCGAAGAAGGAATGACACGGAGGCAGCATTCAGGTGATCATCATACTTGGATTCCTCAGCCAGGTTCTGTCGCCAGGTTCTCCAGGTTCTCTTGCCAGGTTCTCCAGCCAGGTTCTATCCAGGTTCTCTAGCCATGTTCTCTCACTAGGTTCTCCAGGTTCTCCAGCCAGGTTCGGTCGCCAGGTTCTGTCTAGGTTCTCTGCCTCTAGGTTCTTCAGCCAGGTTCTCTCCAGGTTCTAGCCAGGTTCTCCAGCCAGGTTCTGTGTAGGTTCTCCAGCCAAGTTCTGTAGTCAGGTTCTGTCCAGGATCTTTTGCCATGTTCTCTCACTAGGTTCTGTCTCTAGGTTCTGTATAGGATCTTCAGCCAAGTTCTGTCTCTAGGTTCTGTCTCCTGTTGTCTTGTTACATCTGTATTTATACCAGTTGATTTTAATCCTGTCAATTTCTATTCCAAAGGTTAGGGTGTTTCTTATCTCCATTCCAGGGAGTAAAGATTATGTAGCTTAAGCGTGATTGTTCTTAGTTAAAGTGATTAACTACCCGCCTGGCACTTAGTTAAGGGGTTTTATCCCCTCCCTAACTTCAGGGAAAAATCCCTACCTGGGGAAACAACCTTTCTCGGAGAGGTGACCTTGGTTAAAACACATAGCGCTAAGGGGAGCAAACATATTAAGAACAGTATGCTATATACGCCAGGTCCCTTGAAACATATGCTGTGCAGATGTTTCTTTCCTGCAGCGACTGTGTCAAGCAGCAAGGATGGACCAGCTCCCGGCAGGCCAGCAAACTGTGGCCCGGGGCCACATCTGGCTTGTGGGCTATTTTTGTACGATTCATAAGCTAAGAATGGTTTATATATATTTAAAAGGTTGTCAAAAAAGAAGCCCAGTTCAGGGGTTGAGCGTCAACCTATGAACCGCGAGGTCATGGTTCGATTCCCGGTCCAGGCACATGCCCGGGTTTGTGGGCTCGATCCCCAGTGTAGGGCGTGCAGGAGACAGCCAGCTGATCAAGGA